CCCCAAAACCCCAAAACCCCAAAACCCCAAAACCCCTCGATTCGATTTCGGTTTAGGGGTGTGAATATATAAAAATAAATTATTAAAATTGCTTCGATGCCATTTTTTGTGAAATTTTCCATCTGAATATAACTGAAATGATATAACATCAACTTCAATTTATTGATCAATTTCTTCCTTCAGACATCTTTCAGATTATTCCTATTAATATTTTTTTTCCAGATGTAATGTTCTAGCACCTTCTGATTAGTGAATATTAATTAGATGATTAATAATTTTAATAATTTAAGGTTAATCATGAGGAAAGCAGGATCCCCTATTAAGTAAAGAGACGAAATTTAGGACCCAATATCTCCTAAGAGACCTATATTGAGGAAAAGAGAACAAAGAGCATCTGCATTGTAAAATAAAAATTACACGAACTTTTATAAAAGATTAGATGAAGGTAAATTTTGCCAATAATGCTGAATCCATTAATTTTTATTAAATAGGCAATGATCAGCCTTTAACATAGCCTCAAAGAAAATCTTCTTTCGATTCAGACACAGGGAAAAAGATTAAGGACCGAAGAAAGTAAAAGTCTAAACAAATCAGGAAAAATAAGCTTAAAAGTAAGGATTTTAGACTTGACCTCAATAGCATTATCAAAGAAGTTCATTTAAAAGCTCCCAAAGGTGGTCAAGAAAAGCGATTCCAGTTTATCCAATATGAAAGAATAAGTTTAGCCAAAGCTACAAAATGGCTAGGCAGTAGATTTAGAGAAAGCAGAGCCCTAATAAACTAATAATTAACCTTTTAATCTAAGCAACTTTTTCGAAGTCATTTGTAAATATCGGAAGTTTAATTAATTATAGAATATTATAATGCAAATAGACTAGTTAAATGTTCAGAGAAAGTGTTTGAGGAAGTTTAGGACTCTGCAATAGACGAGGCTTCCGAAGGCTAACTAAATCAAGTAAATCAGAATTTGATAAGCAACAAGATATATGATGCTGTGGATCTTGCCTTCCCAGAGTAGCCTAAGACTCAGGTTATTGCTTAGGAACTATTATAAATGTAGGAACTAGAACAACTTAGTAAAAAGGTCACTGATAAAAATTAACAAGATTAGCAAAGCCTAGTGAAACAAGAGAATCTAGAATAAGCTTTGAGGTCGGAAACATTCATCAATTGTGACTTGAGATTCTTCAACTTATAGTATTTGGTAGATTAAATTGGCCACTTTGAAGTAGTTTAGATAGATCCTCCATGGAGAATCAAGGGTGCCTAAAGGAATAATACAAGCTTTATGTTTTCAAATAATAAGTTTAATCTTGACTATTCAACAATGTCTAATGCAGAGATCATGAATATACCAGTAGAGGTTTTGTCTAGGAAAGGATTTTGCTTTTTATGGATATTGAACAGTTAAATGCACATTGGTTACGAGTGTATGAATAAATGGGGTTATGAAGTTGTAGACCAACTTACCTGGATCAAAACCAAGAACAAGAAAATACACATATCTCATGGATTCTATTTCTTACATTCTAGTGAAGTTTGCCTTGTTGGATATAAGTGCCCACCAAATGAATATATAGAATTCAAATCAAAGGTTTCAAACAATCTCATAGTTGCAGAGATTAGGAAAAAAAGCTAAAAGCCTGACTAAATATATACTCTTATTGATATTTTGGTTCCTGGTGCTAAGAAAATTGAACTATTTGCGAGAAATAATAACCTCAGAAAAGGTTGGCTATCTTTAGGGAATCAATTGGGTGAGAATTATCTAAATTGGAAAAATGTAGTTAACTGTGATGAGTGTTAAAAAGATATCAACACAGGCAATAAGTATTACAAATCAAAGATTAAGGCCAATTATGATATTTGTGTAAAATGCTTTAATGATCAGTTAGTTTAGTATACTAATAGTCAAGGAATCTTTAATTAAGAGGAACATGCTTATAAAATTGCAAAAAATCAGTTTTATGAGTGTTTCTTCTTGATTGAAAATGCCACTGATGATGAAATTTTACACGAATACCATTAATGCAATATATGTCATGCAGAGCCGATTTGGGGATTAAGGTTTAAGTGTTAATCCTGTGAAGATTGTGATTTATGTGAGTCATGCTTTGATGCCAGGTTACATAGGATTAATTTAAAGCAAGAGTAAGATAACTCCGGAGAATCAGGGTTTATTCAAATCTAATCTGATGACATTATCTGCTAAAGCCATGAGTTCATTTGTATTGAGCTTCCATTAATAGCTGATGGTTTAGCTGCTCATAATTAATATAAGTGCGTAAGTTGCTATATGAGACCTATTATTGGGGCATGCTTTGTTTGCGCAGATTGTAATCACTTTTCACTGTGCTAAAACTGTTACTTTACCACCCCGTTCAATAATTTGAAGGTTAGAGGTCACACTGATAAGCATAAAATAGAATTAATAGTGGAGCCAAGATAAAGTGTAAAAAAATACGTTAAATGTAATGGTTGCGGAGAAATGCCTATCTAAGATGTTAGGTATAAATGCAATAACTGTTTTGATTTCGATTTTTGCGAAAACTGCTTTAGAGTTTATGCTGTTGATAGGAAGGAACTTAAAACAGTTTATTCAACTTCTCATAAAGCTTATCATACATTTACAAAACTTATCCTCGCAATGGCTTCAAGCAATATCAAAGATTATAACAATAATGATGAATTAGAAGAATAAAAAGAAAATGGTGAAAACAAAAGTGGAAGACATCATAAGGATAACGGGGATAAGGCCGAGAAAAAGCGGCCACCAGGTAGACCTTCGAACAAGAACAAGCAGAAAAAAGGATAGCAGGTAATTAGCCTTACATAACCATGATTTATTGAATGATGTTCTAAATTTGGGTCACATTTTATTGAAATAATTTTTCTTTTTCCATTTTTACTTTTCAAATTTATGCGTTTTGCGGGGTTTTGGGGTTTTGGGGTTTTGGGGTTTTGGGG